CTCCCCAGAGCCTCCTCTCTCTGCAAAGCCATGGGAAGGAGACTTTTAAAAAGCAAATATTCAGCTTCATAAACATGTCATAAATCCATAACCAGTTCTCCACGTTCTTCGTGTTTTTATGCAGTGCATCTACTATCTATCTACCCCTTGACTTTGAGCCCACATTTTTGGGTCCAGGTTTCTAGGAAGTGGCTGTTCACAGGAGATTTTATTGCCATTTATTACTTTTGTGTGGACAGGGCAGTTGCTTCTTTTTAATTTATCTCCAAGAAAAATGCATTCCTGTGGCACTCAGACAAAACATGATATTAGATATATTTTTTTTCTTTTTCAGAAGAAGTTGCTTCTACTTCTGGTAAGAGATTGTCTAACCTGGATCTCCCGGAGGCCATTTGCCTTCTAGGTTTCAGGGTGGTTCTCCCTGCATGGAAACCTACATCTATTTCCTTGTCTCAGAACAAATGTGCTTGAGACAAGCACCTCCTGATGCCCAACAAGCTCCTTACAAATTCTATCCATAAATAGGCATAAACCACCAAATGAGAGGGGAGCCAACTTGATTAACCAGTATTCAACTGGAACTCTTGGTTAACCAAAACTTTGAACTTGACTTCAAAGGAAAAGACTAAGAACATGGAGGAAAGAAGCTAATACTAGAGAGTTAGCTTTAGAAACAACCCACTTCCATGGGACTTCCCTGTTGGTCCAGTGGTTAAGACTTCACCTTGCAATGCAGGTGGTGAAGGTTTGATCCCAGGTTGGGGATCCCTGCCTCGTGGCCAAAAAAAACAAAACATAAAACAAATGATATTTTATCAAATTCAATAAAGACTTTTTAAATGCTCCACATCAGAAAAGAAACCCCATTCCAGTAACTGTGGTTATTAATATTATATTATTACTACTTATACTATCTGGAGAAGGAAATGGCAACCCACTGCAGTATTCTTGCCTGGGAAATCCCATGGACAGAGGAGCCTGGCAGGCCCCAGTCCACAAGTTTGCAAAGAGTCAGACACGACTGAGCGACTAACATTAATATTATAGCCAGTACTTACCAGGAGCTCACGGGATGCCAGATACCAGGCTAAGTAGTGCACATGCACTGTCTAATTCCATCCTCACAACAACCCTTGAAGAAGTATCCTCTTCATCCCCATTTTACAGATAGAAAGCTGAGGCTCAGCGTGGTTAAATTATTTGCTCAGTCACGCAAGACTGTCCTCAAACCCAGGACTCTGAATCTAGAATCCACAAGCTTAACTACTCTAGGAAATGAGTAAATTCAGTTCCAATATCTACACCTCCTACTAAAACTAAAAGAGCCCATTGCCCCCCTCTTTTTACAATCAAGGAAATGGATGTCCCCCAAAAAAGGAAGCCTATAGTCACCCAGCCAGCCTGTAGGTACCGACAGAGCCAGGTTGTGGAACAAGCTCAGCCCTCAGGACAGTACCCCAAGGCTGCGTGTTCACAAAGATGGCACAGGGGTTTCCCTGGTGGTCCAGTGGTTAGCACTTGGTGTCCCACTGCAGGGGGTGACTTGGGACTGATGATGTTACTCCCGTTTCACAAGTGATGGGGCTGAGGTACAGAGAGATTAAGCACTTGTTCAGGGTGTGCTAAATTTATGTACTATTTGTATAAAACTGCTTCCACAAATATTTTCTTATTTGATGCCATAGCAAACTTCTGATTCACAAATATTTCATTTATTTTAATTTTTAATTAATTTATTTTTTGCCACACCACATGGCTTACGGGATTTTAGTTTCTCACCTAGGGATCAGACCTGGGCCCCCTGCCATGGAAACATAGAGTCCTAACCACTGGATGGCCAGGGGAGTCCCAAATATTTTCTTATTTTTATCACTTCCATTTTAGAGATGGAGAACTGAAGTTTGTGTTGGCCCTACCACTTCTGAGCTATGTAAGCTCAAGCAAGCTTCCAGCCTAATTTCTGTAAAATGGTCAGAGTGAACCAGACTCTCTCTGAATTCTCCCTGCTCCAACCCCCAGCTGGAATATCCAAGGTGACAAAGAGAAATGGCCTTGTTCTCTGGAATGTCCTTCCCCTACATCTGGCAAAGCTGAAGTCTCTTGGCTTTAACACAGGGAGGCTGGCACCTCCACAGTGGTTGTTAGCAACTATGTGGCTTAATTATCCGTGTGCCCAAGGGCAGAGGAGAGGGGGTGCGTTTTTTACACTGATTTAATCAAAGCCCAAGAAGGCTGAGCACCGAAGAATTGATGCTTTTGAACTGTGGTGTTGGAGAAGACTCTTGACAGTCCCTTAGACAGCAAGGAGATCAAACCAGTCCATCCTAAAGGAAATCAGTCCTGAATATTCATTGGAAGGACTGATGCTGAAACTGAAGCTCCAGTACTTTGGCCAACTCATCAGAAAAGACCTTGATGCTGGGAAAGATTGAGGGCAGGAGGAGAAGGGGGTGACAGAGAAAGAGATGGTTGGATGGCATCACTGACTAAATGGACATGACTTTGAACAAACTCCACGAGATAGTGAAGGACAGGGAAGCCTGGAGTACTGCAGTCCATGGGGTCGCAAAGAGTTGGACACGACTGAGCAACTGAACAACAACTAATCAAATCCTGCTTCACTCAGCCTGAAGCCTCTAGGACCTTGTCACAATTCTGCTTAATGAACACCTGATGGATGGTCTGGGGCTGGCTTCCCCTGATGTGATGTTGAGGAATTGACATGGGGAGTTCATCCATGAAAAGCCCTGGGGACATCACCCCAGGGAAGAGCCACATGGGAGACAGACACGGCCACCAGGCCATGCCTCTCAAGGTCAAAGCAGCAGGGGAACTCCCCAGTCACATGGCAAGATCAGAAGCTGAAGCCCTAGTGTTTTTCTGGGTATTTTTGTTTTGTTTTTTTCTTTTCTTAAGGCACTCAGTTCAGTTTACATTTAAAAGGGCACTGTGTTCTGGCAGGATTTGCTTTTAAAATAAAAGGTACAGAATAGATAAGAAATTAACAGACCTCTTGAGTACATGATGACCTGTCAAAGTTTTGACACCTGACATTTGGAGAGTGGGGAGTAGATGAGAAATAACACAGTAAGCTTTTCACTGACTCAAAAGGTTCAGAGAACTGGGCATTTTGTCAGAAGCTATCAAACAACTACAATGTATTCAATGTGGACAGACCTAGTTTTCCACCTACTATAAGAATGTTTTTTTTAATATGTTTTTTCTACCCAATTCTAAACCTTCCTATCCTAGAGAATTCCACACTGAGAGTTCCAGGGTAAGACAGAGCCCATCTTCACTATAGAAGCTGAAAAGATACTTTCCCAGCTTCCCTTGCAGCTAAATCACATTCAATCAGCTGAGTCCATGAGCTTTCAATGAGAAACTGGTGGTGCAAAGAAGTAAGGTTAAGAGAAAGGCATTCTGGTGAGGCCCTCAGCAGAGCAGCAGTGTCTGATATCCAGGAACAGAGATGGTGACTGCAGTGCATGGGGAGTGTGCTCTGCTTAGGGGAGATCTCAGCAGTGTTCTTACTAGGCTGCTTCTCAGGCATGGTTTTGGCCTTAGTCCTGGCTGCCTCCCTTTGTTCCACCTCATTTTCTAAGCCTGAGTCTTCCTATAATTCTATGAGCTCCCCAACAGTCTGTCAATAAAATAGTTTTCTTCTTAAATCAGCCAGAGTTGATTTCTGTTGTTTACAATTAGGAACTCTGATGGATGTACTAGTTATGGGACTTGGACAAGTTATTTAATCTCTCAGACCCTCAGCTTTCCTATCTGTAAAATAGAGATCATACTTCTATGTCTTTCATTTATTCACTCAGCAAATATGTAATTACTAAAAACCTATAGGATCTCCTACACTCATAGACTTAGAGTCTGATGGGAAAGACAGAGATTAACAAGTTTTCTTGTTAATCTAATAAATTAACAGAAATAGTTTATTAATGTTGTGGAATATTTTATGAAAAATTCATAGAATCATAATTTATAAAAGCCCCCAAACAAGCCAAATGTCTGTCAACTCGTGAGTGGAGAAACAAAATGTTGTATATCTGCACAATGGAATATTATTCAGCCATGAAAGAACTGAAGTATTGATATATACCGAAACATGGGTAAACCTTGAAAACATTATTCTAAATGAAATAAGGCAAGCTACAAAAGACTACATATTGTATGATTTCATTTATATGAAACATCCAGAATAGGCAGAAAGTAGATTGTTGGTCTCCAGGGGCTGGGGATCCAGGAGGGGAGATCGAAGGTGATTGTGGAAGGTGACAGTTTTCATTTGGGATGATAAAAATGTTCCAGAATTATGTAGTTTATCAGTGGCGATTGTTGACAAATCTGTGACTCTACCAAGAACTACTGAATTGTATAGTTCAAAAGGGTTAATTTTAGTGTAGATGAACTGAACTAATCTCTAAAGAGGGCTCTCACTCTTTTTCCACTCCTCACCTCTGTCTTCCCTTTGTGCCCTATCCTCTTTCTCTCCAAATGCAGATAGCTTTTCTCAACACTGCTGAGAAAGATAAGCCTTTGGTATTCCTAGATGCACAGGCTTCTAGCTTAGCAGCCCCATAAGAAACAAATGCCCTCGCTCTCTCCAGGTCTCTTGAAATCAGTTTTGAAAGACCCTGATGGGCTCTGCTTAGGTCACATGACCATGGGAAGGCTAATCACTGGGGGTGGGGGGAGGTATCAGTAAGGACTATGACTGGCTCAGCCTGGTTACCTGGCAACTCCTGTGGTGGGAGGTGGGCTCTATGATTATCAGCCCCACCAGAACCCGCATAAAGGGGGAAGTCTTCCCCCAAAGGAAAGGAGTAGCTGTTACCAAAAGAGGTGGGGATGGGATGGGGTGCTTGACCTTCTGTCCCACTTCACCATGATCACTACAGAAACCAAGTCTGTTCTCTGGGTGCCAGAAAAACCTCCCTAGACACAGTTAAGACCTAAAGAATGAGTTGCAACTAGTGAGATAAAATCCATACCTGAGGAAGAATGTTACAGGTGGAGATAACAAATCATGGGTCATAATACAGTTGTCTTGAACAACACAGGTTTGAACTGGGAGGGTATAACTGCAGGTAAAAAGTTCAACTATGAAATCTTGCATCATCCTGCCCCATTCCGCCTGGGATGTGAATCATTCCTTCATCCAGCGTATCCCATCTCTTAGTTCCCGAGTACCTGTCTGGGTATCACCAGATTGACTGTCATGGTATTGCATGCTTGTGTTCAACTGACACTTATTTTACTTAATAATGGCCCCACACCCTGGCACATTACTGGTGGGGTGCACACTGATTAAGCCTCTCTGGATGGCAGTTGGACAATCCCTGTCAAATTCAAAATTCCTACACTCTTTGACTTGGAAATTATCATCCCAGGAACGTAACCAACAAATATTTTGGTAAGTGGGGAAAAGGTGTGTATTCAGGTTAATTACCATGACATGGTCAGAAAGGATTGGAAACCAGCTGCCAAGGGGGCATCAGTGAACTAGATTATAATGTTTCCACAATAGGATAAGACTTGCTCAAGGAATAAAGGGCTTCACCTCCTTGGTGGCTCAGTGGTAAAGAATCTGCCTGCCACGTAGGAGCCTCAAGTTTGATCCCTGAGTTGGGAAGATCCCCTGGAGGAGGAAATGGCAACCTACTCTAGTAGTCTTGCCTGGAGAAGTCCATGGACAGAGGAGCCTGGTGGACCACGGTCCATGGACCACGGACCACGGAGCCTGACTGCAAAGAATCAGGACACAACTGAGTGACTTTCACTTTACTTTGTCCAGTGAAGTGAGGCTTGTCCTTCGAAAGTTGCCTCTTTTATGGGACCATCCATAATTTCCCCATAAAAGAATACATTCCTCCCTCCAACTGTGCCCCTTGACAATTTTGCACACATGACATTTTATTACAATGGGTCAGTCTCCCCAAATGATGATCATAATCTCAAACATTTATTAAGCATCGACTATATGCTTGGTGCACCACAAAGGTCTTACTTAACTCTCACAAGAACCCCACATGGGTCCCTAGGCTACAAGTGTTATTACTGCAGAGGTCATCTGAGTATATGCTTGGGGGTTTTTTGTTTGGCTTCGGGGTTTTTTAATTTCACCTTGCTTTTGCTTTTGTATGCTTTGGAGCATTTGTTTCTTTTCTGTGCATTTTTTCATTCTTGTTCTTCCAGTGCCTAGCATTGGCACATAGCAACAAATAATTTTTAAATGAATAAATGTTAGTATCACTTTCACTAATAAGGACACTCGAAAGTAAAGACTTGATTGAACTTGCCCATGGCTCTCTCACTGTGCCCAACTGTGCTGGTGACTGAGGACAATCCCTCATTCATCTTTGTTTCACCAGTGGCAGGACTTTAAGGGGTGTTCAGTAAGTACCACATAAAATCTTGGAGAAGGAATAAATGAATGTTTGGTTACTGCATATCCCATAGGATTATAACTTGATGACAATGAATCAAAAAAAGTAGAGTAACAGCTAAATTCTACCACAAGTGTACAGATATCAACTTTCTCGTTTATGACATGGAAATGCTGTAACTCACCATAAGAAATACTAGGAAGAAAATACGTCCGTCTATGTAGTGAACAGACTCATGGTTGCCAAGGGGAAGGGAGGTGGGGAGGGAAGGATGGCAATTTGGGATTAGTCGATGTAAACTATTATATTTATAATAGAATGAACAAGCAACAAGGAACTACTGCCTAGCACAAGGAACTATATTCAGTATCCTCCAATAAACCATAACAGAAAAGAATATTTTTAAAATGAATGTCTATGTGTGTATATCTGAGTCACTGCTGAATAGCGGAGATTGACACAACATTGTAAATCAACTATACTTCAAATTAAAAAATAAAATTTAAAAGAAAGAAAATATGTCTGCCTAACTTTCTTAGGTAAAAGAGACTTTTAAAATAGCTCTCCTCCTCCTCTTATTTTGTATGATTCCTGGCATGGCGGCATGTAAATCAAACATTTGTAGATCAAATTGATTTAAATATTGCAGAAACTCTTTTTCAAGAAACACTACTGGGAAAATGAAGACTGCTTTAATAAAATGAAAACATTCTGCTTCAATGAAATGAAATCAGCTCCCAATTTGTATCACACATGGGCCCAGCAGGTTACAAAACTGCTCCAATGGTTTAATGTAAGAGGTTTTAATGAAGGCATAAGTTATGGAGGTGTGGATAGAGTTAAGGGAGCTTACAAGAGGGCAGCAGGAAGCTGTTGTTACCTCTGGGTCTTCAAGGGCAAGGGGAGAAAAGCAATTCTGCAGAATCCAATGAGAACTGAAATCAGGGCAGAGGAGCTGCCTGGCAGGAACCAAAGTTATGGAAGACTCGGGCCAAAGGTGCTGAAGCAAAGAGGAAGAAATATTTTGACTTCTCTCCTCCTCTGATTTTTTTGTCTGTAACTCCCATTTACCAAACCCAAATGGAAACCAGAGGGCAAGGGAGCCCAGATGAAGTGGTCTATAGGGCTCAGCCCTAGGTCTAGAGTGTGTGTGTGTGTGCGCTAAGTCACCCAAGTCGTGTCCAACTCTTCACAACCCTGTGGACTGTAGCCCACCAGCCTCCTCTGTCCATGGGATTCTCCAGGCAAAAACACTGGAGTGTGTTGCCATGTCCTCCTCCAGGGGATCTTCCCGACCCAGGGATTGAAGCCCAGTCTCTAATGTCTCCTGCATTTGCATGCGGGTTCTTTACCACTAGTGCCAGCTGGGAAGCCCCTAGGTCTAGAGAAGGACAGAAAATGATTGTGGGGAAGGGAAAAGGAGAGATGCTGAGAGTCACCTGCCTGGTCCACCCTGTTGCATCCACTCAGCATCCATCCTGTCCTTCACTCAGATGAAGAAACTCTCATCCCCAACATTATTGACACACCAAGTCTCACAAACTGCCTTGTCATGGAAAGGAGATCTCAGAACAGTCACATTCTCACCTGGAACCTAACCTGTAACACACGCTTTACTAGAGGTAGCAGAAAGACAAGCAGAAAAAGGAAACTGTACTTGATCAGATAAGACCTACAGCAACTACCATCCACTCCTCAGCTGCTGATCAAGGAACCAAAATCAACAACCAAACTTCCTTTTTCCATCACCCAATCCACCTTCTCCCCACTCTCAGCACTGCAGAGGACTGGAGTTGTGTTTACTTGAGAGATGAGTCAACCTTTTATTTCCATAGGATGGGAGCCCTTAGTGACCCAATATTTACTGGGTTGTCATGGTTTTTCACTAACCATCATTACTCTACGTGAGAGCACTAAGAAGAGACCCAGTGAGTCTTCTGGGCTCTGGATGTGGTTTTTTTCTCAGCTTTGTTGGATGGCAGTAACCTAACTTTCCTTGATAATGAGGATCAATCAATCTCTCCAGCCAACACAGTAAGCTTCCGACTGCTTGTTGGTCCAGTGGCATGGTGGTGATGGTTTAGTCGTTAAGTCATGTCTGACTCTTGCGACCATGGTTTAGTCGTTAAGTCATGTCTGACTCTTGCGACCGCATGTGCTATAGCCCACTGGGCTCCTCTGTCCATGGAACTCTCTAGGCAAGAATCCTGGAGGGGGTTGGAATGCCCTCCTCCAGGGGATCTTTCCGACCCAGGAATCAAACCCACCTCTCCTGCTTTGGCAGGCAAATTCTTTACCACTAGCACCACCTGGGAAGCCAGTGAGGAGCCTCAAATGGCCAGCGACACTTTCAGCTTCAGCCCTAATGGAACTATGTCTGTGGTCCCCGGTAGAAACCAGGACCTCCAAATCCACCAACCCAAGATCTCAGAGATAGAAAGCCCCAAAACATTCTAAATGCATTGTTAGGTGTAATAATCTAAAAACAAGATGGAGGTACTCCCACCTCCCCCTGGGTTCCAAGACCTTGTATTCTGAATCTGGCAGAACACTATATTTACTCTATTTCTTAGGACAGGAGCCTCAAACCTTTAGGACATTATTTTCCAGTGGTCTTTAGGTCATTCTTATGATTCTATCAAGCTTATGAGTGATGGGCTAATTCAGTCATATCAGCTAATTTTGTCAACAAGAGGCCAGTGATATATTTCTTCTGCTGTAAAGTGAGTTTCTTGGTTATTTAGACACCAAGACAATTGAGGTCCCCTCCCCGAGTCCATGTGGCAGCTGTGTAACAAACCAGTCAGCTATGGTCGCAACTCTCCTTTACATGGAAAAAGAACTTTCTTCCTGAGGTCTAGCATCCTACTCTCTCTTTGATTCTTCCTGTTGGTTTCATGTAAACTTCAGAAGGCAGAGCTTAAGTTTTGGGGTCAAAAGACCCAGATTCAAATCTCAACTCAGCTTCTTATAAGCTGTGCAAGTCTAACTATGCACAGTTTCTTTGTGAATAAAATCAGGATATTACACTTACTTTGACATTTTCAGGGTGAATTAAATAAACTAATGTAGATTAAAAGTCAGGCACACAACACACATTCAATAAATGTTCCTCCATCCCTCCTGTCTTCAAGCTAAATCCCACACCTGAAACATCAATTTTAGAAGTTGTTTATAACAAAATGTATACTTTAAGGAAACTTCACCGCCTCGGTCTTGCTGCCCTGATGATGCACATGGCATGGATTTACAAGAAAAACCTACAGCTTTCGGCTTTTCAATTCTTCATCTTTTTCTTTCACACATGGCCAGCTCAGCATTCTTCTCTGTCTCAATGTTTCTAAATCTGCCAGTTTTGTGCAAACCAAAATCCCCTGTCTGGGCTTGAGTCCAGTTTTCTCAGCAGATGATTTCTTCTGGTAAGCCCTAATACTTACAAATCATCCTCTGGTCTAACTCAACCCTTGGCCCCAGTTTACACGTAAGCACATGAGACTACAGGGCTTAAAGGAGGGCAGGGTGGAGGGGAGGGGGTGCGTGTGTGTCAGACCCAGTGTTTGAATACCTTTCCTACATGGGAGTTTCATACTGTCAAGATTGTTGTTTGCAAGCAACAGAAATCAACCCTGTTGATTTCTCTTGAGCACAAAGATTTTATTGGAAGACTATCAGGGTCCATAGCATCAGCAAGAGACTGAAGAAACAGGTGTGGAAAATAGGTGGGGACCGAGGCAGCCCAAGGACTATGGCAAAGCTGCTGCAGCACCCCCTCCAGTGATGCTGGCCAGGAATGTCTTCCAACAAGGAACCACCAACTTCCT